TCGTTCCGATATTGTATAAGTTGTTAGCTATACTAACAATGTTTCCTACTGTAATACAGACTATTGACTCGTTCCGATATTGTATAAGTTGTTAGCTATACTAACAATGTTTCCTACTGTAATACAGACTATTGACTCGTTCCGATATTGTATATAAATATTATAGAAGTTGTTAGCTATAGTAACAATGTTTCATACTGTAATACAGACTAGTGACTCGTTCCGATATTGTATATAAATATTATAGAAGTTGTTAGCTATAGTAACAATGTTTCCCACTGTAATACAGACTATTGACTCGTTCCGATATTGTATATAAATATTGTATAAGTTGTTAGCTATAGTAACAATGTTTCCTACTGTAATACAGACTAGTGACTCGTTCTGATATTGTATATAAATATTGTAGGTATTACAGTAGGAAACATTGTTACTATAGCTAACAACTTATCGGAACGAGTCACTAGTCTAATATTTATATACAATCCTGTGTCTCACCTCCCTGGAGAGGGGAGAGCCTATCTCAAGAGATGGCACGGATACTTGCACAAATTGGAATGAGTTAAAGATCTAGAATATTTGGTGACGTTGGCCTTGGTGACTTAAAATAGCACTTCAACTTACTTGTCCTGCAACAAAAGTCTTTATTTTGAATTGATCTCTGGAGATGTGGATAGACAGATTAATACAGAAATATAGGAATATATTGAAATATATGTATTTGATCCTTCCATCGGTATGGCTCAACAAAAAGTAAAATGATGGGACTAACATGTAATAATATTAGTATACTAGTAGAAAATACTTATTTCTACACACTGACCAATCTGCTATGTGACCGCTTCGGTTATCAAACCCCGAATTTTGTGTTATAAGACCCGCTTATATACAATATCGGAACGAGTCAATAGTCTGTATTACAGTAGGAAACATTGTTACTATAGCTAACAACTTATACAATATTTATATACAATATCGGAACGAGTCACTAGTCTGTATTACAGTGGGAAACATTGTTACTATAGCTAACAACTTCTACAATATTTATATACAATATCGGAACGAGTCACTAGTCTGTATTACAGTGGGAAACATTGTTACTATGGCTAACAACTTATATCGAAAGATATTATTGGGTTTAGGCCTAACTTAAGTCGTCTAAGCTAACCAAACTTCAAAAGATATTATTGAGTTTAGGACCGAAAAGTGAAATACGAACCTTTTTATCATGTAGTTATGATAATGTTTAGTACCAAATACTCAGGACAATTAGCTGGCGAATCTGGTAAAAGTTTAGGTTTATTGTTTGTTTGTTTGTCGTTAGATACACAATGGGCCATTATGCATTGCCAACTACGGGTATCGAAACCTAATTTTTCACGCTGTGATATGTTCGCTATTATCTTAGTAACAGTTTGACATTCTTTCTCAGTTTATAGATAACTGGATATATCCGATATTGTTTACTTAGCTAGTTGTAAAAATCGGAAAATTTTAACCTCTTTTCATGACCAGAGAAAGATAATCGGGCCCTGTCGGTTTACATTTCATATTAACACAATCTTCGGCTAGCAGATGGAGCGCCATTTTGTTTCTTCACAACTGTGAATGTATAATATTCTGTATGGCATTTTTTGGTACATTACTGACATCTTGATCATTGAAATTGTTAAGAGAACTTGTATCTTTACTCAGTAGATGGCAGCACAGCATATATATCAATGTTCATTCTATAACATTTCGTTGTTAAGCGCAAAAATACACAATGGGTTGGTTATCTGTGCTCTTCCCACCGCAGGTATCGAAATTCAATATTTAACGTTATAAGCCTTAAGACTTACCGCTGAGCCACCCAGGGGGGAGCATTCTAAAATAATATAAATAAGTACAAAACAAGCTTATGAACATTATTTCATCGGACATTTTAATAAAAGCCAAAACATATTTATGTTAGTACAAATACTGATTCACTGAACAATTAAGATATTTAAAACAATCATTATTGAACAAGACAAAAGAGAAAGTGTAAAAAACGCAGACTTACATCATAGGGTTACAAAACTAAAATTATACTAAACATCTACTTTACAGGTCGGCTTGATATGAAGATCACGGACTATACACAGAACAACGTTGAAGGACGAGACTTTACGTAACGTTTTACCTTTGAAATAGTTGGCACAATAAGAACGGTTGGATATGAAAACCAAAGTTACTTCCAGGCAAATACATAACCAACTGCAGGTTCATTTACTGGCCAGTGACAATCTTACAAGAGGTAAACATTAAAGATGACCACCGCCTACAAATATCAAACTTTGGTACTTTTGTTATTTACAATCTATAATTATTATATCTTTTATTA